AATAATCCATATCATAGGAGTCTGGTTCAGTTGTTGTAAGAGTAGGCATTTTTAGGATAATTTGTTAGGTAAAAGTTATAAATATATGATTTTATAAGGGTAGTAGACAAGTACAAAGGTTTAAGTATATGGTATAGCCTAATATAGATTTGTGTAATTTTTTTTTAAATAAGGTATTACAGAATTATAATTTATAATAAACTAGAATAGTTGGTATGACTAAATATTAGTCACCAATGTAGTGTAATATTAACACAGAGTACAATTTTTGTGTAAAATTAATTAGAACCAAATATAGAAGAGAGTAGATTGTATATTAAATAAGTTTCTATTTAAGGATATATTAGTAAATTTAGTGTAAATTTAATTAAATATAAATTATGAAGTGATCTAATGTTATATGAAAAACGTGTAAAGATGAGCAAACCAAGGTAAGGATAAAAAGTAGAAAAAGAATTTTTACAAGAGAATAAAAATTAAATTTGACTGTAATTTAGTCAATATTTGATCAAAAATCTTTTTCTAGAGCTTGTTTTGACCAGAAAAGTGTACTCTACACTTTTACTTAAGAGTATAAAGTAGGTTATGACAATAACTTTTATGTAATAAATAAAATTGCAAATTCTGAAAACTAAAGGCCGTCAGTATGTTTTTCTTGACGAGTTTAAATTTTAAAGACTTGAAACTTTCAGGATAAATATAAAATTTAGTACTGAACAAGTTTACTTAAGAGCCAAAAACAAGTTAAATTAGTAAAATAAATAGTTATAAACGTTTTTGTACGAATGAATTTTTAGTTAAGATTTGTATAAAGGATTTCCTATATATTAAATTTATATTAATATGTATTACAATTGCTGTTACATAGCAGATAGATTATATAATTGGCATATATAGATTAGTAAGCATAAATTTGATAAAATTTTGGTTCATTTATAAAAGTAATTATACCAAACGAGTAAAAAAAAAATGAAAAATCATACTGGTAGAAAAGCTAGACATTCTTTTACTTTTTATATTAATGTTATTCGAATTTCAAACTCAAAAACAGTATTTGCAATTTGTAAATAATATAAACTAAAACTGGTGAAGCATATGCTATAGAAAATACTCAGTGTGTTAACAAAAAAGACAGACTTAGATCATATTTTCAAAATTGTATAAACTTTAAAGCAGCTATTACCAAAAATAAATATGAAAAATTAATGCAAATAACTAAACTAAAAAAAAAAAGACCTCTAAATCAGCAGTATCAAATAGTTTATTTTTTGCTTTTAAATCTGATTTACAAGGTAATATTTGTTTTTAAATATAGTAATAAAATTTATAATTTTAAAATAATTAATTTTTTTTTTTAAATTATAGATACAAATCAACAATCAATATAACTATTTCTTGCACAAGAATATAGTTTAGTTGATAAATTTTATTACAAAAAAATCATTTTAAGTGCAACAATTAAAAATGGATAGGCATTTAATTGGGTAGAAAAAAAATCATCAATTGCTATGCTTAAATATAAAAATCCAAACCTTGTAATACCAAGTCATCACACTCTTGAAGGTCATGTAATAAAAAATGCTACACAAAAACTTTATTTAGAATTAGCATTAAAAGCAATTAATGATAATATTGGAGTATTGCTAGCATTTGATGGTTGGAAAAACATTTTAAAGCAGAATATATTTGAAACAGTACTTATCACATCTTCTGGAGAAGTATTAATCTGGAATGTTAAAGATATTAGTATAGAGCTTGAGCGAACTATTAATATAATGTTCAAAGTTGAAAAATTACTTAAAGAATTAAAAGATCAACAAATTAAAGTTGCTGCAATAATTTCTGACTCTGCATCCGCTTATGCAGCTACAAGGTATTATATATATTATTATTGTATTAATTATAAATTAATAACTAATAATATATATTTTAGATGCCATATGCATAGATCTCATTATAAAATTATTTTTCTCCCTTGTTTTGCCTATCAACTTAATTTAGTTGTAGGAGAAATCTGTAAAGAAAATACTCGATTTAATAATGCAATTAAAAAAGTTATTGAAATAACAAATTATTTTAATAATCCTAATAACTCTTATTTCATTAGTAAATTAAGAGATGAACAAAGAATGACACACAAACATTATATTGCATTAATTTGCTTAGGTGAAACTTGCTAGAACAGCTATTATGAAGCACTTGGTAGCCTTTTACATTCAAAAGCATCACTAATTGTAAAAATTAAAATATAATATTTATAATTATAAAATTAGATTATTATTAAATATTTTTTATATTATAGTCTTTAGTTGCAAAATATGTATTGCCTGAAGATGATAATCTAACTTTGTCAGGAAATATTTGTGAACCAATTGGAGATAATGATTGATGAAATACAATATTAGAATTACATATTTTACTCTCACCTTTATGTATTTGTTTAAATCAACTTTAAACAGACATAGCACATCTTTATGAAGTATTACATATTTTTGGTTATCTTTACAATTTAATGGATAAATACTCTGATATTACTTTTGGAATAAAAATGATAAAATATTTAGAATGACACTGGAGAAAATAGGAGCAACCTCTTTTAATTCTTAGCTTTTTGCTTTATCCTGATATTTGTCTTACTCGATTTAAATTACCAATTAATGGTATTACATATGCTGAAATAGGAAAATGGATTATATATTACTACTGTGCTTGGTTTGGAAATTCACCAAAAAAAATTATTGCTAAATTACAAGACTATCAAGATGAATTGTTCCCTTTTTCAAAAAATGAATGGAACTTTTTTAAAGGAGTTATTCTAAAGTATTGAAAGTATTGTGCTGAAATTTGATCAGAACTTTTCTCAGTTGCATTACGGCTTCATGGCATACTTACTAATAGTGTATCCATTGAGAGATTATTTTCATCTATAGGATTTTTTCATACAAAAACCAGAAATTGGCTAAGTGTAAGTATTAAATTTAGAACATGTTTAATTTTATTTTAATTACTTATTATAGTTTTATACTAATTTTAATTTTAGCTGGATAAGATCTTAAATATGAGCAAATTACATGCTTCGATGCTTTATAAAGATAGGATTGAAAAAATTAAAGATAGTACAAATTTTATGGATTCTAATATTGCATCACCAATATTTCGAAATTCTGAATTAGAAGAAGATGATGAGCTATATAATGAATTGAATGAAAATTTTATTTCAAATACTAAAGAATAGTCAAGAGTATTAGATACTTGGTTCTCAATGATAGAGGATAAAGAAAATACAAACCAATTGTATTATGAAAATGATGAATTAGATATGACCAATTCAACCACTAGTCAAAATTTATTAAATACAACTCATTCTACAGATAACCAGTCTGCTAAATGGCAGTTAGAAGATTTATTTGTAACTGATTTAATCATACTACATTATATCATAGAGACTGAAAAGCATAAAACATTGAAAAAGTAAAAAGAAATAGAATTTATTAGAGACGAAAATAGAATTGAAATAGATAAGAATAGAATTGAAATAGAAGATAATAATGAATCATCAGCAGATAGTAATAATAATGAATTAATGGATGAAGATTAGTCATTTATTTTTAATAATTCTTTATTTGCTATTTGTAGAGAGTTTTTGATAAAGTTCATTTAGTTCTATTAATAGAAATGTAGGCACAAAATAAATAGAAACAAATAGTTGCTTAATTTGTTTATATTGCACATGTTTTTTTATCATATGTTATTTATCTTAGGATGGTAAAATAATGCATAAGTTTCAAGTAATGAATTTAAATAGACAAATTTTATATGAATAAAGATTTACTAATAGTTTTATACTTGATTCAAAAAATTTATAAACAATGGCTTATATTAAATCAATGTAAGATTTATTTTATTATTATTTATTTTATATAATAGAAAAATATTCAACTATAATATTGTTTTTTTTAAATAATTTATTAGAAATATATTGGAATGCTTTATAAGTATTAACTTCGATATAATATAGATGAAAAATATGACATTCTAACATGTTTTACTTTGAAAAATAATTAAGAAATATTGACTTTCTTTATACTATCAATTTGATATGTAATAAAACTTATATAAGCAAATATGAAAAGTTATGAAGTTTAAAATGATATTAGTTTTAGCAATACGTTTGTTTAAAAAATTGGGAAGCAACTTTATATAAATTAAAAAGGTATAAATATTTAAATATTATAGATTATTGTAATTTCTAATTAATGCATTTGTAATTAAAATTGGATTATAATAAATCTTTAAAAATTAGATCGAATAATTTATTTTGTTAATGTTAAAACAATATATTATAAATTAGGCATATATGAAGAATTACTTGCCAATTTAAATAAGTTATTAATAATTGAGTTAGATAATGAATATAGAGCAAAAATAATCATTTACATTGAATGGGTATAGAAACATGTAATTAGATAAATGCTTTTCAAACTTTGAAAATTTATTGTAAATTAGAAATTAAGCATAATAAATGAATATTAAGCTAGCAGGAAGTTACTGTATAATAAGAAAATACAAAAAATTACTTGAAATTTTAATAAATTATAGACTAGTATAAAGCTGATTAAGCAAAGTATTTTTTTTAATAAATTTTTAGTTGATGAATATGAATAAAATACAATATCAATAATTAATAAATAAAATTGTAACTATTGAATAAAATTGAAAATTAAATAAAGTTGAAAATTAGAAAAAAATAGTATAAAACACTTTTTTTTTTTTTTTTTTTTTTTTAATATTGTCTAATGACTATGTCTAATAGTTTCAATAGACACTATTGAACCATTTGACTGTCTATTGAGTCTAATGATTGTCCTAATGTCTATCTACAACTCTGCTTTAGGTAAACTTTTTAAATAGGTAATATAAAAAAGTTACTTGTATAGCCAGTTGTATACTTATCATAATCTTAACAAAAGTATTAATAAAGTCAAAAGATTAAAGAGAATCATCTTAAAAACTAAAAAAAAAAAATTAAAATATTTTTAAAATTTTTTAAAATTTTATATATTTCTGAAGCTAAAAAATTTTTGTTTTTAAGATATGTATTAATTTTTAAATATAAATTACTAAACTTGTAATAATTAAAATTGTAATTTTTAATATAATCTAAAAAATTATATTAAAAAAATTTTTTATTAAAAATTTTTTTAAAATTATATATTTTTGGTTTATAAGTTTATCTTATAATTTAAAAATAAATATTATAAAAAAATAATTCTTATTTTTGAATATTATTATATTAAATTTTATTTATATATTTTAGTATTTTAAAAAAGTAAATCAGAGTTAAAAAAATGCAAAAATGCAAACAAATTTGTTTATAATAGCCTACAATCTAAGAGATAATATAGTGGTTAAACAGATAACTTCTGTAACTATAAGTATTAAGTAACTATTCTTTAATCTGTAGGCTTTTCCAAGTAAATTTGTCTAAAAAATTATTAAAAATATGCTTATAATCTATTTTTTTAAATTTTAAAATATTTAAATAAAATTTTATTTGATAATATTTGAAAATAAGAATTATATTATAGCAGTATTTAATTTTATATTATAAGAAAAAATAAATATATTACTTATAAGCTAAAAATAAACAAATTTAAAAAAAAATTTTTAATCAAAAAAATTATTTACAAAACTTTTGACAAACTTTTTAAATATTAATTTTAAGTCTATAATTCTTAATACAATATTTTAGTTTATATAAAGGATAACAATTTTTATTAATATCACTTTTGTAATTTGCTTATAAAAATTTAGACTTGTACAAAGTGTAAAATTTTTTTTAACTTTAGAAATATATAAAATCTTAAAAAATCTTGAAAAATTTTTAATAGTTAAAAATTTTTAAATAGAATTTTTAAAATTTTAATACATAAAAGTTTAATATTTTAAAAATTTTTTTATAATAAAGTTTATAAAATGTTCTTAAAAATATATTTTATAAACAAAGTATATCACATATTATTAATAAATTATTATTTTATTTAAAAAATACTAAATATAATTTAATTTTCAAGCAAATTTGTCTGAAATATGGTTTAAAGAATAATATAATATATACAGTACCAGATAGCAAGAAACATCCAATTTTTAATAAGAGTACCAAATTTGTTACAGGTAACACAACTTATGATTGGCTAATTTTTATGCAGATTAATCACATGTGATATCAATGATTGGTTACTAAATTTGTAGATTAGAGTGTTTAATAACTAGTAATTAAATCTCTAAAATAAATTTAAAATTAATAATTCTAAATTTATTTTTTTTTCGAAAGCTTGTATTTTTTTTTTAAATGAATGCTTCGAAGTGAAAACCTGTAAGTTAAAGGTTGTACCTGCAATAAAAATCTTAACTTGGGTATTATCAAATTATCCAGTTATCTACTGTTATATGTATAGGCAATTATTTTTGAATACAGACTAAAATAATACCATATTCTAAAATTTCTACTTCGATACAAGTAAAGGCTTAAGTTTGCCATAGTGAATTTAGCTCTAAAGAATTGATATCGATAAGCAGGTTTTATATTTACTTGCCATTAAATAATAACTGGAATAAAAGAACATATTTATTAAAAAATTTTACTGTAATGGCATTCTTCATAAAGTTGTAATGTTTTGAGAATTTGCCTTGCCTAATACATTCATATGCTTCTTTACCAATATATTCTCAATAATAGAGAATTGATTTTAATTTGACTAACAGTTGCAAATTAACTTATTGGAGGTTTATTATAGTGCTTTGCAAAAAAAGGTAACTTTGTGACTTTTGCAACAGTGGTAGTGAGAATTTTAAATTGCCTATTGGTTATATTTTTTAATTATATTTGTTCAAAATCTTTAAAATTGTTGAAGAATCACAAGGATTAGCTGATTTTCATTGATTTTATGACACACCCTTTTGCAAACTGCTTATTTTGAAATAAGTAAGAGTTTAAAAAATCGGAATAAAAAAATAATTGGCATACTCGAAGATAAATTAGCTTTTTTGATAACCTTTACTGATAAGTGATTATGTAAATTACCTTCTAAATCAGGAAGTCTAAAGACAAGTAGTTTACAAATTGATTAATTATAAATTTGTAAAGTAAAGATCATATAATGCAAATAAATTACTACCTGGCTTTAGACGATTCCTAAATCAGGACGAGAACAAAATAATTATATTTAGGGTTTTTAGAAATTTTAAATATTATTATTGATCATTACTGTTTAGTAATAATGCATATACAGTATATAGAATATTTAAATTTTAAAGATTTACAATTTGAATTACTGAATTATTGAATTTTTTAAAGATTTTTTGAATAATCAACTTTATTGTAAAATTACATCAATAAATTACATATATCAGTTAAAATACATAAAATTTTAAATGATAAAAAAAAATAATAATAAAAAATAAAATGAATATTCTCAATTTTGAAGATAAACCAGATAAGTTACCTTATTATTTTAAGAACTCACTAACCTAATTCATAATTTTTTTATTAATCATTCTATGTTTTCTACTTTTTTTAACAGCATATTCAGCCACTTTTCTTGTTAATCCATAATGATAAGCATTTATTCATCTATACGAAGCCTTGCAAAAAAGCGAATTTGTTCAACAGAAATGAAATCGAAAGCTTCACAAATTGTTTCTCTAGTTTTTGAAAATAAATATTCACAGTGAGATTATGTATATCTCTTTGCCATTCCCCAATACATTTCAATATGGTTGAACTCTGGATGAAATTTAGGATAAAATAAAACTTTATGTCTATAAGATTTAATTCTTATTGAATCTGACCACACTGTTCAAAAAAGTCTGTTTGATTAGATATTAACCGATATGCACAGCAATTGATAACATTAGGATCTGCCTCTTTTTTTTTGTATGAAATACATTCAAGCACCATACCATCTTTCTATAACCCTCTATCACTTAGAACCCATTGAATTCCTTTGGGTTGCCCATGTAAATTAATATGTTTTTTTTTTATTATAAATGAAATGATCCTCTTCAATAATTATTGATTGATGACTACCACTCCACATTGTATCCTGTATTTTCAGAACTGATCTGCCTAGGCCAAGGTTCATCTTGGAAGCAACAAGGGCATCTTCAGCAAAAGCCTTGTGAGATGTTGCATTATCAAAAACAAACATACTTACACATTCTAGATGCATTCTCTTAAAAATTTTAACAGCCTGTACAACTTGTTCTAATAGTTTTTTAGAATCCCAATAGCTGTTCCAGTTGGCACCCAAAACCTGCAAATTTAAAAATAAATAAATAAAAATGATATTAGATTTTACTATTTTCATATTATTTAAAAACATACCATCATTACATGTGCTTCTTCTTGTTCATCTTTAAGTGGCCCTATAGTTTTTGTCAAAAAATTACTTACATGCATAGCAGAACCCAAACCCTTTTTTCGTAATGGTTGCTCTTTTTCTGGACCCCACATAGAATGTGGCCCATCATAAATATAAAAAGTAGTTTCATTATGAGTCACCCATATATGCTCTTTTTTACCATTGTCTAAATCTGGAAATGTTCTAATTTTGCATTTAGGGTCAACCTATTTAAACATTAATCGCTCGAGTTGGCTAACTGCTTCAAGAAATTTTTGACGATATTCGACAATGTCTGGGCATTCATGACCATCTATATATGCATTTTTTTGATAATGTTGATACCAGAAACCAAGTTTGTGCATCCATCGACAGCAAGTTCAGATTAATATATTTTGAACCAATTTGATGTTTAGCTGAGGAAGAATATTTTGTTCAAAGTAGGTTTTGACCATAACAGGGTCTACTTTAAACTTTTGGGAGCACAAATAGGTCATCAACTGGATGAAGGCCAACTCATCATGAAGAAAACTTTTTGACAAGAATCTATTTCGAAAGTCTGGTTCAATTAATTCCTTTTTCATACATTTATTTGCCTACTTTCTAATACATCTCCTAAGTCATGGACCACTATCAACCATATCTGTAACTGCTTTCACTGCTTTCATTTTTTTTTGACCTTTTAGAAGTAACCAAAAAAAATAAAGAACTGACAAATAATGAGCTTTTTTTACTTTTGAAAGTGTTTTTTTGCTTATTGTTTTATTTACAAATTCAATTGCACTACAGATTTTCTTTTTTTCCTCACTTAATTCCTCACTCAATTCCTTGATCAATTCCTCACTCAATTTCTCACTCAATTCCTTACTCAATTCATTACTCAATTTATTGTTTAGTTTATCATTCAGCTCATTGTTCCATTCATGATTCAGTCTTTTATTTAATTTTTGAACCTATAAATTAATATCACTTTTATGTCAAAGTACTGATTTCTCTATAATGCAGTAATATAATCTTCCTATCTGATACTCCTGACCTTGGAGGTTTTCAGCATCCTCATTATTATTAATGACTAACATTTGAGTATTATTAAAATAGTGAGAAAGTTTTAAACTTCCTTTTGCACTTCTCTAAATATTTTATTCTTTCTTTGTCTCATAGGTTTAGAATTTCTGATGTAGACAGCAGGTCACCTTTTTTTTTAAAAACTTATTTGTGAAGCTGCAAAAAGTTGCTCGATGATTGAATTTTCGCTATAATTATCTAGGTTCAATAAATCGTTATCTGGGCTTTCACTTAAATTTTTGCTACTTAAATCAAGGTCAATAAGTGAATATTTTGTACATGCAGAGTGAGCTATTTTAGTCTTTTCTTTTTATAACTTTCTAATATCTATAAGTTTAGATATGATGAAATTTAAAATATATTATTATTTTTTTTTTTTGTTTAATTTCTTTGTGCAGTGCAATTGTATATTATATATCAAAACCACTATATGAAAGAAAAAAAAAAAAACAGATAATCTAAATGTTCATAGCAAAACATGTAACAACAGGCTTAAGTCAACAACTTTATTATTTGCTTGAAATTGATTAATGTGTAGGAAGAAAAATTCAGTGCATTCCAACAATCGCCTGCCACTTTTATATATGATCATAATTTTTTTATAACAATGTATTAATATTAAAGGTTAAGTATTACATTCAATTACGCTTTTACATTCATGTAACATAAAGCGGACAAAATAATACTAGTATATACAGTATGTATAAATCCTTTGATTGCACATGTTATATGTACATACGTATGCATGGGTCTAAAAAAAATATATACTTTCAAAGATTTTTCATATGAAATTGCATGTTTCTCAATGCTTTAGCTGTTAGATTTTTTCAAGGTTTAATATCTCATACACTCAAATATATCAATTTTAATAATAATTATGCATCAGCCAGAATCATTTTCCATTAACTTCAATCTACCATTACCTCTCAAAGACTTAACTTTTTTCATTATTTTGCCCTTTTTATATTGTGGTATATTTTAACTTCGATTTACTTTCATTTCGTCATTCTATTGTTACCAAATTTACAATGATGCACATGATCATAACTTCATTAGAAAACACCACCAAAAGAAAGTCTGTCATTAAGGTTGTATATTTATTGGTTGCTGGACTCAGTTTATCTGATTTATTAGATGACAATTTTTAATGATAAATTTAAAACCAGATGACAGGTTTTTTTCTTGGCAGCACTCATAATAGGAGATAAGCCAATAGAATTGCGTGCACATGACCAAATGCATCATGATTGGTTAATTTACCTTGCGCCAAATTTTAATTTTATTATAAAAGTTGAAGAGATTTAAATCGGTATAACTTTTTTAAAATATAAAATATTAAAAATCTGTCTTACAGATTTGTAGTTTAGATCATAAATAACAAATTTATAAAAGCATTTTTTAGGATAATAGTTTTTTATTAAATTATTTAGTTTTAAGTAAAAGCAAAAAAATTAGATGTTTCTTGCTATTCGGTACTGTATAAATCTAGATTAGCTATATGTAAAACATGATAGACATTAGTAAATCTTCTGTCAAGTATAAAGTAATCTTAAAGATATTAATAAGAATCAAAAATTTGAATAGTCTACATTCTAAAAATGTTTTTGTAATATAAAATAAATTGTATATGCAAAAAGTTTAAATAAACAAGACTTATAGTTGGCTTGCAGATATAATATCTAGTATAAAACTTATATAACAATATATAAACAGACTACTTAAATTAAGTACCAAAAATATATATGTAACTAGCTGTAATCTTTAATATAAAAGAATTACTTTTCAAAGACAAACTTTAATATATAAAAAAAACAATTTAAAAGTATAAGAATATTAATCCTAATATAATAATTGTTATTTTTTAAATAGTAAATTTAAAATTCAAATTTTACTAATAATAAAATTTTAAAAAAACTATTTTATTCTAGCAATTTGGAATTTTTGAAATTGTAAGACTATAATTATGATATATCAAACCTAATTTTAAAAATATATAATATTATATAAACACATATCTAAAAAATATATATTTTATAAAAAGCTTTATTTAAAAATTCTAAATAAAGAAATAATACAATCTTTTTTTTTTTATTTATCCCTGATGTTAATACCTAGGGGCATGTGTGGCACTCTTTTATTAAAATCAAAATATTAAGAACATTGTATACATTTATATATATTTTTCATTTTTTGGGAACAGTTTTTTAGATTGTGGTACAGAGTATGTATGTCTTTGCGAAGACATTTAATTACTATTAGGGGTAGGATTCTGCTTGAGAGGTTGCTGTCTCCCCATTTGAAAGAGGTGTAAGTGCACCATATTTCATAAATTATGTTTGTATGCAACCAGAGAGTGGCTTGTTTGCTTTCGTTATTTATAATATTTGTTGCTGTAAAAATTTCTTCAATAGAGGTTGAAGGAGTCTCGGCTTGGTTAGTTTTTAGAAGGCCATAGGCCTATTTTCATATTTCTTTGCTAACTTTGTATTTAAGTGCAAAGTGCTTAGTGGTTTGTAGCTTATTGTCACACCAGAGGCAGTTTTCTGTAATAGAAGGGCTTATATGCTATAGCCGGTATCCTAGTAGTAAAGCTTTATGAAAAAGGCATCATAAAATATCCTTTTTCTTGTTAGTTGTTTTCTTAACCAGCATCCAGTTAGGGTGTTGGTTAGGATTAGGTGGCTCTGATGTTAGCCTTTTTCTTAGAATTTCAATGATTTTCTTGACTGAAAGTTCTTCTCCGTTAAGTTTTTCTATTTCAATATCTTTGAGCTCCCAAGGCCAGCTTATTGTTACAGTAACTTTGTCTTTGGCCTTTTTTCAAGCTAACAGGTATGGTTTCCATTTTTTTGGCTAGGCTTTTGATCTGATAATATTTGTTTTTAATGCCTGGTTTATTAATATGTTTCTTTTTTTGAGTAAGATTTCTGTGATTTTTTCTCTTTCATATTTGGCCTATATAAAGTCACTAGTAAGGAGTTTTTTCTATACTGATATTAGTCTAGCATCTAGTATATCTTCTACTATTGGAGCTTGAAGGCCATTTTGTTTAAGTGATTATTGGAATATAGAGTATCTAGGCAGCATTCTGGAATTGTTTTTAATCCAGAGTGTCATAAGTCTGTTAATTTCTGCAATCTGTTTTTTACTTGGTAGAGTCAGATATGCTGCATACCATATTCGTAAAAGTATAAGTGCCTTAGCTAAAATGATTTTTTCTCTAAAAGAAAGATTTTGATTAGATGATTTTTCTAGTATCTTTCTTATCCTGGTAATTGTTGTTGTCTATAAGTTTTTTTTAGGAATGCCTTTTGTGTTTACTTTATACTCAAAAATTGGTAGTGTTCCTGTTCTGTAGTTTTAGTAAATTGGGATTCATCCTTAAGTTCGATCCTGCAAGCTGTATTTGTAAAAGGCACTAATTTGGTTTTGTTTTTATTGATTTTTGCATTAGAGGCAGCTTTGTAGATTTCAAAAAGTTGCATAATGTTTATCCAGTCTGATGATGAGCTTATTCCTATTGTTAAGTTATCTGCATAAGCTGACAGTTTGAATAACTGATTTTTTAAAGGAATTCCTTGAATATTTCTTTCTAGTTGTATAAGTAGTAGTTCAAATGCAAGTACATATAGTAGGGGGAAGAGCGGATCCTCTTGTCATACTCCTCTTTCTACTCTAAAAGGTTCAAATAGGACATTGGCTTCCATAATGTGTGCTATTTGGTTTGAAAAGAGGTTGGCTATCAAGTTGGTCATTTTTTTGTCAAAGTTCATTTTTCTTAGAACTAGGTTCAGAAAGTTATAGTTTATTCTGTTAAAAGCCTTTTGCTGATCTACTAAAAGCATCCAGTGTTGTTTGAAGCTGTCTGATTGGTTTCTTAATATGGTAATTATATCCAAGGCTGTGTCCGTTATTGATCTTCCAGAAACAAATCCTTGTTGGTGATTGGGAATAATTTTCTTGCAGATTATGTTAAGCCTGTTTGCTATAATTTTCAT